TGCTTGAGGGAATTTGGCCCAAAAGGCCTAAAAATGCTTTCTCTCTCTCTTTCTCTCTCTCTCCCTATATATTGTTTTCTTTTTCTTTGTAATTAATTTCTTTAATTTTTGTCAATTTTCTTTGTTCTTTATTTCATTTTTGCTTTAATTTGTTCACAACCCTGTAATGATAATAAACGTGCTCTCTCTCTCTCTCTCTCTCTCTCAAAATATACTATTATATTAAATTTTATTTTATTTTATTAACTCCATTGTAATAATATGTACATTCAACGTTACAATTTTTGTATCGAATTCTCAACGCTTAAAAGGATTTCATCCTAGATCACGAGATAAATCAAGCTATCTCTCTCTTTCGGCCAATCGTGTTCTCTTCGTGACTCGATGCTCGCACGCTGAATTAAGACGTACGCCTACGCACGTATTGGTATTAGGAGCATGGCAATCAGCACGTGTGTGCCGCGTTACTCGCGACAATGCGCCTGCTTGTATCGCTAATGCCGCGTGTCCCAGGTGTCCCCGTTTCTTACGATCCAATTTAGGTCCGTTCGATTATCGATAGACGAGGTTAGCAATTCTAAGTTCCATTACGCCGAGTGAACGAGTGGATTGTCGCTGCGATAACGGATTATCGCGATGAAGTTATTCATAACGGAATGATGACACGCGCGACATCGGGCGCGTCAGACATATATTTACATGTAGGAACTTGTTTATGTAAACGAGTACATACTTTTGAATTTTGACACGTGGGGACATATAGGAGAAATAAAATAAGCATGTATCGTGTTGTAAAAAGTGCAGATGTATTTACTTGACATCACATTCTTTGCGATAGGTATAAATAATAAATAATAGTAAATAAGGTAGATATCAATGATTACGTGACGGATACGTGGCGACGTTTATCTTCAAATTGATTAAGGATAATTTGACTAAACATTACTCTATCGTCGATCCAATAACAACGGCAAAACTTAGTTTAATAATTAGTCGAATTAACGTTGATCAATTAAATCGATTATTTTTGCCTGGGAAAGATTTTGACGAGGTATCGAATAAATAACAAAAGCTTCGAGCACGTATAATATATTCGAAATTAAACGATAAATTATATCTAAAGCAGAGCTTCAGCATAAAAACGAGATATAACGTTATATTTATAATTATGCGCTTATCGCAATATCCAGATATATCATTTGTTAGAAATGTGTGCTCGCGTCTCTTTATTTTATTAGTTAAAAAAAGAATGCGAGGAAAAACGTAACACTTGGGCATTATTCCATAGAGAACGTAGATTTCATTGCGCTAAGCAAATACTGCGTTTAACGGCCGAAACGGATATGGAGCTAACTATAATGCCTCGTTATATTTTCGGTACGATACCACTCGTTGGGGTATTCGGAATAACGAAATGCGTCGATGCCAGAATTTGGTACGCAAAGTAAGATGAGGAGAGTAAGGGTCATTTTCGCGCATCTTTATATATCGAGATTCTCAGAATAACGGTAATTTGAATAATACAACTTATTGCCAATTTAAATAATACAGCCATACATTGGTTGAAGAAATTCACGGAGAATTTATTCGGCCACGAATCTTGTGTGTGCAGTCGAAACAAACGTGACGTCTTTCGACAAAACGTTCGACGTAGGCTTCCTAGAAATCGCTTTCTCTAGTTTCAATATCAAAGTCGACGTATTTCTACGAATCCTGAAAATCTCAAAGAGGTGCGAAACATCAGAATTAATATTCTGTTGTTTGTTGATATCAATATGATTATATTAATACCCTTTACTATGATTATTTACAACCGAAATTACTGCGATTTTGTCGAGTTTAATTTTCAGCGTTACACGAATTATTTCCATTTTGTCCCGAACAATAAACATACTCTTTAAAACTTTCAGAGTGGAAATTGTCACTCTAAAGAGTGAAATCTCAATCTTGAAGAGTGAAAAATCAGTCATTCTTTTTTTCAAGACTCGCTCAATTTTCACTCCAAAGTTTAGAGAGTAATATCCGTATTCATAGTCAGACCTTATATTTAAGGCCTTATTATTTAAATTTATCTTTAGATGTTCAGCAGTCAATAAAATAATTCGTAGAGCATCCGGAGGTAAATTTAAGGAAGCCTTAAACATAAGGTCCGACTACGAATACGGGCATAAGAATTCGAGTAATCGATTTGAATGTCGGCGGAATATCAGCCGGGAAAAGAAATTCACCAGCACAAGACACACGACCGTGAAAATTGGTGACGCGACGCGATTCCCGAATGACGAAAACGACACGTCCGTGTCCGTTTTCGGCACGGTTGTCGACGGAAATCGCTTTCTCTCTAGTAACATCCCGACGCAGTCACACGGACGGACGTTACTGTCGTCGCTCGCGAGCTCGACGTCGCGTAACGTGCGACGTACGAACGTGTGACAGCGTTCGGAGAAGCGCGACAATGATCGCATGGACATAACAACGGCTCGTCCGTACGCGAACGTCGCGGACACGGCAAGACAAGATGGCGGCGACGCAGGCACGCAACTAGCGCATTGTTCACCCCCAACAGCCTGCCACTGTTATTCTTTTGTGTCCCGAGATACCCGTTGCGACAAAAAAAAAATGTCTGGAGGCTATTTTTATTCCTGCACCAGACTGGAACTTTCTTTCTCGCTTTCATCAAATACGTATCTATTTTACTTTGAGTGAAATAAAAGAGTATAGCTCAGCTACAGAAAACAGATCCTAGATAGAACCTAAATGGAACAAAATAGTCAAACGATAGGTAGAATAAGAATTCGATAGTCATTTATGTTTTCAGTTTTGTATTTTGATTTATGTTTCTATGCATCAATTTTATACTTTGATTTATAATTTTTGTATGTTTATTTGTCAACTATGATGAGCATTTATACATCTAATATACACGTTCTAATAAGCGCATTAAGCACGAGGCACTCATTGTGGACGAAAACTATTTCGAAATTGTACGAAAATTTAACGAGGAATCCCGTAGATTTTTTGGAAAATCGTATATATATGGCAATCATATATTTTCCATGTAAAAGTATCCATGCTCGGTTGGATACAAAAAACACAGTTTTAAGTCAGCTTCGTCTTAAAGAATTTGACGTCTCGAGGAGAAATTACACCTGCGTTATGATCCCAAGAGAGCGTTCCAAGAGTTTCGTTCCACTCGCGCTTCGAAAATCATTTAGATAAAAGAAAATAACAGAAGAATTTCGTAGCACGAAACCGCTTAAAAGATCCTTATTCCTCGGCCACGCCGAATTCACGAATCTACGTTTACGCGAAAAGCGCTTATCCGCCCACATGGCTCATTAATGCGCGCTATCAAGCTCCGGCACGTTTGTTTGATCGTTACTTCCTTGATTAGAGGGAACGTCACGAAGTTAAGCACTTTTATTTTCGTAATAATCCGATTGTCCGTCTTTATTCTCGGTAGAAAGTACCGATGCCCCGGGTAATTGGCTGCCCCTAAACCGTCCCTGAAGCAAGAGAAAAAGAGAGATGGACAGAGAAAGAGCAAAATGCGTGTGCGCGCGCACGTGAAACGAAGCAAGAGAGAGAAAGAGAGAGAGAGAGAGAGACGGAAAGTGAGGAGAAAACAAAGATGGCAGACAGGATTTGACTCGACGGCGACGGCGGTGGTGGCGCAGAAGGAAGAGAACGAATGACTTACGGAGTAGAGAGGGCAGGAGGGAAAAGAACGAGGGGCGAAGGGAGGAACGAGAGAGAGAGAGAGAGAGAGGGACAGACGGAACACGATGATCTGGCGTGGAGCGAGGGGCGGGGAAGGGAAGGGGGAAGTACGGGACGAAAGGGACAAGCGCGGCTCGGGGGTTCGGGTTAGCTCGTTCGACCCGTTATCCCTTCTCCGCCTGTGTGAGTCCTCCCTACCTGTCCTTGCTTCGATTCGAACGAGTCGC